CCCACAGGGCAACTCTTCTGACACCTGCTCAACAGGATCTGATGTCGAATACGCCATTAATCGGCCTCAGCCTCTCTCCAGACGTTACTCATCGCAAAGCTCTGTGGGTCAGAGGTATTTCCGTCATGTCTGTGCAACTCCTGTTAACCAGCACAGACAGGGTATAGCAGCCAAGCGTAAAAGTGTATGCGGTTCAGACTCTGATAATCTACCGGCCACTCAGCCCTGGAATGAAGATCGAACCAGAGAAATGTCTGTGTGCTCTGGCGATTGGATAATGCCCCAGTCGGATGAAGACTTAGAGGTTCAGGAAGAAGGAGAAAGAGTGCCAGAGAATGTCTTCCCGCCAAAGACTATGATAGGACAACCGATAATTATCGCGATCGGCGAACCACGTTGCGCCAAGGTTACCAACACTAACCCATGCAGTCCAACACACCTCAGGCCTGCTCCCCACGTCCAAGTGGGCAATGCGGTCATAAAGAACGTTCATCGCAAAGAGGAGCCCTCTCACTCCAGCTGCAGAGAATTTACCCCCTCTTCTAGCTCTTCCACATTTGGTCAACCTAAATCTATTCTCGCCAGACCAAGAAGTAGGTCCAGATGCGAAGCATCTGAGCTACGTAATGCATAGACCCTGAAAGCAAACTGGTACGGTCATGTGGGCCAGATATCCTTAAATTCGCACAGCGTTACGTTTTCCAAACAATTGCAATTGAACCTTTTTTGATTTAGGATCGGTTTACATCAATCACTTATTTGCTCAAAAAGGGACCAGCATAGGCTGGTGAAGTTGAAGGTTTTTCTTTGTTTTCAAGGAGGGATAATGAAAAAAAATTCTGTAGAAAGTGTGGGATTTTGCAAATAAATTTTTGATCTTCCTTTCAAACAGTTTGTCGATTCTTTGCTTGGGTAAGCCATATACAATAAATGGTATATATCATGAGATGTTAAGATAAACATTTGAGTGCGGGATTTAACGCGCATTTAAGCTTATTTATTTTGTATCTTGAATTGACTTTGGGCGTAAAATGTTGAAAATTTTCAGCTCAGATCAGTATAATAGGGCAAATGGGGGCGTAATTGGGCCAAATCCAACGTTTTTTACTATACGAGAAATTGCATATGCCATTAAACGCTACAAAAAATTCTTGTTTGTGCGTGTTGTACTATGAAAGAACATTTATAAAACCCAGAAACATTTCATGATATGTGTTCGGAGAACAGACAATTTTATTTTGCGTTTATGAAATCGAGGCAAAGTAATTATAATATAACACATTATCGTCGGGAAAATAAAAGCGAATTATGTTTAAACAATTAAAATTTGCAAATCTCCTAAGTGCTGCGCCATCAAATTAAGTAATAAACGTATAGAGCTGTAATTTGTTAAACCCAAACGAAAAAAGTGATTGTAAATAAGCATATATAAAAAAATCAAGACATGCCGTCAATTTTTTTCTGTCAAACCGTATCCAAAATATGTCCGAACAGTTTTTATGCGTATATAGCAGAATCAATTAATAGAAAAACTTGAAACGGAACGAGCAGAAAATTATTATTTTTCTTAAACTTGTCGTTGATATTCTGCTACTCTGTTCTGCATTTTTTATATAAGAACTGAGCCTAAATCTTAACAAATATATTGAAAACAGCCCCGGTGTACATCGAAAAATGATTTTTTTTAGTTTATGCAGATGTAGAGATATCTAAAAACTGACCAAATTGTTACAAATTAATTTAGTCTTGACCTTCAAAAAAGGTAAAATACACAGATATTCGAGACCGAAATAATTGATTAAAACACCTTTATCAAGAGGTTACTTTACATAGAAAGCTTTTTAATTAATCTTAGACACATTTTATCCGCGACTTTGATTGTGAGCGTTCATTTTTCTCCGTAATAAGTCGATATATTTGGGTGCTTCTAAAACCATGACCCAAACCGACAGCTGCATAAAAAAGTGATTAAACCTCCTTATTTAGGTAAGTTCTTTTAAGAAATATCTTATGTGGAAAGTTTTGATAAGCACATAGAATATAATCGTTATTTAGGGTCAGTCAACTGAAACACGTGAAAGTCGTAGTGTTCATGGCCATTTTAAAAACAATTTGCACTTCGTCTTTATCGAAATCCCAAAATCATTACAATTAAACGTGGCGGAAGGGAAAGTCTCTTACTGTACACAAACTGATTGTTGACGATTGCACCTGATGATTTCATTTATATGTATTATTCATTGGCCGGCATGTCCGTACATGAGCTTATAAAATGTATTGCTCCAATGACCTCCCAAACGGCAAAATCAAGCGAATACTTGGTTGCCTTGGTCCAAAGTACTTCAAATAATGTAAAACTGGAAGAAGCAACTAGCAGTTCTCGTGAAAACGTGAAAGAATACACACTTGAACTTCGGGTTGTTCGGCAACAATTATACATTACATTCTACATAATATGGAAGCATGTGTATCCGAATATTAACCAAAGGATGGCTTCTCAAAGTAATTCTACTTGTGCTGCTTTATTCACTCAGTGTTTTTACATGAACAGGCTTACTCTACATTTAAAAAGTCTCAAAATCTGTTATTTCTAAATAACGTAATATTACTTACTTAATCACACTATGCCCTATGTGAAGAACGACTATTGCTGTATTGCTGTAAGACTTCAGGGGGGCAGCTTAGGCTGCGTTCTTATAACAGGGAGCTTATTTTTAAAATCATTAGATTTCATGTGGTATCCCACCTGCTGTAAGACCCAACTTAAAATTTAGAACCTCAATTTCCTACAAATTCCTTCCACCTGCAGGCTAAGAGGACTAACATGCAGTGATTAAATCATTATTGACCAAAGACGGCGTGCGTACAGAGGAAACTGGTATATTCTTGAGTCAAATTTTTAGTTAAACTTACTTACCTAATAAAATTAACCAAACTGCTCCACGTAGAGCAGCGAGTACCCATTATTCGTTTAGCTCATGTAATCATGTTGCATATGTCTTTGTTTCTCTTATGCATACGTTTCGTTTGGTAGAAATGTTTGGGAGAAGTACGTAGACATTAGATAGTTTACACGCGGTGACAGTACTTATTAGATATACAAACCTGAGCATGTGCCGCCGAGTTAACAATTGCAGTTGGACAGTTCAGAAACACGCGTGAGGGATAAACGGCCGATTGTTGGGTTTGAGGGACCTTTATTCAACGGGATTGGTTACTGCTCCCAGTAAATAGAATATATGCGAAATTTGCAAAAATTCCCATTAGATAATTCAGAACACAATTTTGGCGAGCGAACGCTTTCAGTAAATTCTCATCAGGCCATACAGTTACAAGGCAGGTTTAGATTTTAAAATCGATAAATTGTCTTTCTTTACACGCGGGAGCCAATCAGAGCGCGGAACGGTGCAGACAATTAGGTAATTGTTGGCCATGCCAAGTTGGGGGCTTGCACGAGGTACTTTTGTGCACACAAAACCGGTTTTCTCAATCGGATTGCGGTTGCTTCTGCTGTTGCTAGCAGACGTTGACGCAGGGACTTTGGGTAATTTGGTGGGACCTTGTAAAACACCTTAAAGGCTTCGCTTGGGTCCACACGATGTCCGGTGTCGACCATGTGTGCGAGGATAGAACTGTTTATGCTTTTGGTCTCGCCTTTGGCTA